ACGGTATACTGTGAAGATTCAGATCAGTCCAGTCCAGTCCAGTGTGAGTGATGAGAGTATATCGTTGACGATGCCCCTTGTTCGGATGAAAGTTTTATTTCAAATTACACGGAAGTCTGTGAACAATCTGCTTGGTGTTTCTGTGACACTTGTCCCATGATTTGCCAGTGCAGCCCCGTGAATACATGGACGAAAATGTTTCCACCACCACCCTATGAACTCAAGATTGCATACTCCAGCATCCATACTTTGAATAATTTGCACGCCGCACAGTGCAGTACTGGAAACAGCATTTATTAGACAGTTAGACAAAAAACAAAACAAAATGCCTGTCTCGATCAATCGCACATCCATAATGTTTGTATGTTGATATGCTTGTAAATAACATTAACGTAAAAGTCGAAACAACCTAGACTAGAAGTCAATTCACCAGTCCAGCCAGCTATGGCTCCCTAAGTTGCTTATATTTAATCAGATACTATTTCGTCATCATGCTTTGTTACCTTACCTGTTTATACCACATGAGGGCGTTTTTTTATGGCAAGATGGCGCAAACGAAAGTCCTTCGCAGGTTTATGGTTTCTCATATTTAAATCATCATAACTCTGAAGATAATCATTTTTTAAATTTTTTTTTTCAAATTTATAATCAATATACATAACTTGATAAATACAAACACCAAAATAGGCTCTATTTAGTTCCCCTTTAAACAGATTGGCCATGGTGTGACATTGTCTGTCAAAACCTCACATGACAAAGCAAACATGTACTGTATGTGCGAGTTGAACTGATGCATAAACAATGTAGGTAGCACCAAATTACATAGGGTATTCTCTTTGGCCACCAGGCATCTATAAAAAGGATGCTGAATAATCAAACATTATTTGCAGAGACAGAAGTCTTTCTGCATCGTTCAATGTCGGTTTTCTTGGTTCTAAATTCCATTTGAAATGACTTTTCTATGTAGTCATGGCAACAATGGTTTACTTCCAATTTATTTTTTCAAAACTTGGTATTTATACATCTTGTAAAAACATTTCTATAAATTTTCTTTAGGGTTTTATTATATGCATGAAGTGCCATAATTTTCAATTTTGCACAAAAAATGTAATTTTTTTTATTGCCAAATAATATCACAAACACTGCTGCATGCCTTCTAACCTGCATTACTCGAGTGATTTGCTTGGTGACCATTTTAAATTTGCCTTAATGGATGTGGTATACTTAGAGGCTTTCCTGATAATATTGAACCGATACTAAGCGTGTGAAGTGCTACCTGTGATTGAATATAATAATTGTAGTGAGATTTCAAGTTTTTTTCCTTTTTGGAATGGGCACAATCACAATAAAAATGTAGTAATATTTTTCGTTATTTTTAATAATTTTTTTTAACTTTGGGGGATATTTTAAAAATAACTAACAACTAATTCCTTGGTATTGTGATTTATT